GGGAAAGAAGCCAGGCAGGGCTAGGGGTTCAGGGAGGACTAAGGCTTCCAGTTGAAGCCCATGTCCCATCTGAGTGTTTGGAGGACTCCAGGATAAAATCCCAAACAGTAATTTTGTGGCCCTGGGTTGGGTTATTTAGAGAGTTTGGGATCTCTGCAGGAGAACAGAGCTCCCTAATGCTTGATCATGAGTACATTCTCATGTCAGGCATCACTCGACAAAGGCTTCCTTTGTGCTGGGCTGATCAGAGCAGCAATGTTGAGCCTCTGAGCAGAGGCTGGAGCCTGAGCTCCAGGATACGGGGTCCTATCTGAGGGACATGGTCGTGACTGTTGGCCTCAGATGCTATGCCCTCCTTGGGCAGATGACTTCTGACTGGGATTATCAAGTGTGGACCTCATAGACAAAAGTCCTTCTTTGAGTTTGTCAAAGAAGAAAAAAATTGAAAGCATTTTAAACCTTTAAAATTGATAAAAGGAAGGAACATAAAGTTCTATTAATTAAAATAGAGTCATATTATTCATGGATAATGAATATCTGAGTTTCCTAGAGAAGAGCCCTTCATTCTTTTCTTTTCGTTCTCAGCATCAGGGCAGAGCCAAGAGAAGGAAGGGTGGAACACCGAAAGGTAAGGTTCTGCCTAGCCCACCTGAACGCTCCAAGGGTGGCCCTTCCTGCCTTTTCCATGAGATCCAAGGTCCCTGATCTCTGAGGATGTCAACTGCTAGATACAGTTTCTCTCAGAAACCAGAGTTCTCAGAGGAGAGGCTTGTGGGAGGGCAGTCAGAGCCTGAGACACTCCTCAGATTCCCCGCTCTGCTCATCGCTGGGCATGAACCAGTGATGGACCTGGGCAATGGGTGTTTCCCAACAGGTGGCCATGTTAGATGTCAAGAGTCAGAACTTCTGTGTCCTGACTTTGTAAAAGTCCTTTGACTTCCTGGATGATGAGATCCCTCTCTGAGGCAACACTGATCTCTGGGCTTCACATGATGGTTTTGAGCATCACATGAGATAAAATGCATGTGAAAGTACTTTACAAGAAGCAACATACGCATGTTAATATCATTGACCATTTGACCTCATCTACCAATTCTTGGGTCTTTCAGAGTCTAATATCCCAAGGGTTTCCCATAAGGGGACTCCTTATTATACCTATGCTTTCTACCTTCATTACATATAACCCACTCTCCTGGTCTCTCAGGTTGGAGATGTCACCAGACAGAAACAGAGGAGAAAATGAAGCTGATTTCTATTCTGAAAAGGTGACTAGTCTTTCCCCTTCTTTCCTGATCCCTCCTTAGCATGTTCTATGCAATTCCAGGGATTCAGTGCAACCTGCTGTAGTCATGGCAGGGGGTAGCATAGGAGTGAGTATGTGATGAAGGCCTTGAGGTGAGGGCTGTTGAGCATGTTGTGAACTCATGGATGTGGAGCAATGTGAAGGGGCAGTAGGCTTCAAGTGACCCCACCCCTGCCAGGCCAGCAGGTCCCCCTTTCCTTGTTCTGGTCCTGGTTGCATCTTTGTACTTCCTGTCTTCTGTAGCCCCCTGGGCCAGCACGATGACATCACCCGCTTTCGTCAACTCTTATGTCCAGACCCCTTCTGTGAGGTGTGTAATAATGCAACTGCTGAGATCAATCGGCTACTACTCCCAGAAGCCCTGGAAGATTCTACTTCCTCTGTGTCCCCGTTGGCTTCCACAGCTCCTGTGACTGAGTCATCATTTACTCTGTCCCCTGCCTTCTCAACAGTCCCTCCAAGAGACCTAACACCAGCCTCTCTGCCTGATCCTTCCCCACTGCCCCCCTCCGTTCTCTCCCCTAGCCCAATGACCCCCTTAGTTGACTCTTTTTCACCCTCCCCATTGGGTCATTCTCTGGCACCAGAGCCTTTTCCTTCCTTGGATTCCGAATGCCCAGTGGACTATTCCCCACCCCAACCCCTTGCCTTTCCCCCTCTCCTACCACATGACACTCAGACAGCAGATCCTGTTCTCCCACAAGAGGCTACTGTGTCTCCGGATACCGTTTTCTCTCTTGACCCCATCCTTTCCCAAGATATCAACCACTTATCAGATTTGTCCCAGGCAATGAATCACCCTGATTCTTTTGCTTGTCATCATGTACCACCAACTCTGTCTGTTTCACCACAGCCAGACTGCACTTTATCTGTCACTCAGTCTAAATCAATTGCCATCTTACTGAAGCCTGTTCCCGAGAACTCACTTCCAGAAAGCCCTGGTGTGTTGTCCACTTATGTCCCAACACACAGAGGCACTGATCATTCAAGCTTGTCAACTTCAGACTTCTCCTGGTGGCAAGCTCATGCCAAAGACTCGTTCCCTTCCACGTTGGCACAATGTGATTTCAGTCAAGAGTTTCTTGACCTCCATTCTTCAGAGGCCTCTTTTGGGGGAGACCCTGCAGCCAACCTTGTAGAGCCTGGTAACCTCTCATTTCTCAGCCCTGATGTCCTGGCACTCCTGGAGAGACAAGTCCAAAAGAGGAGCAATTTCCTGATGTGGAAGGAAAAGGAAAATAAAAAAGATTCTTTTCCAGAACAACTTAGGCCAGACTACCAACTAAATTCTTCATGGAAAATGTTAGAGTCAATTGCTGATAAGCATGACTCGGCAGTCTGCCTTCCCTTTTGGAGCAGCAAAGACAAATCAAAGGAGCTGCATGTGCATCAGCAGCCCCCATATCCTAAGACCCTGGAGGACCATTTACAGCAAAAACCTATCCAGTTCTTCTGGGGGCTCCCGTCTCTGCACAGCGAGTCCTTGCCCTCTGCTGTTCATGTCTTGGCTGACAGTTCCTCAATCTTTATTTTCAATAGAAAGTCGATTGCCTCCACAGGCCAAGAATCACCAGTGCTTCCCGATCCCCTGCCTCTGTCCTTGCCTGAGATTCAGCCTGAGCCCTTGCCTCAAACCCTGCCTCAATCTCAGCCCCTACCTCTCACTCAGGTCCAGTCCCAGGCCGACCCTCAGTCTCCACTCCCAGTCATACCATCTGATCCTCTACCCCAGATCAGGATCTGTGGAGTAAGTTTCCACAGACCTCAGGATGAGTCCGAGTCTCTCTCCTCATCTGAAATTCAACAGCTGGAATGGAACATTTTGCAGAAACAACAGGAAAATTTGTGGGGTTTACCGTCTGTGGTCCAGAGGTCTCAGGAAGACTTTTGTCCATCAGCTCCTAACACTCCTCGCCACCGGGCCCCCCAGGCCCATGTTTCAATCTCCATCCTTCCTGGGGAGTTTCCTCTCAGTGATGAAGTTCGGAAGAAACTAGAGCATCACCTTCGAAAGAGGCTCATCCAACACCGGTGGGGCCTGCCCCGCAGAATCTACGAGTCTGTGTCACTGATGTTGCCTCCAAATGGTTTTTCAGAGGCATCTGAGTCGGTGAGCAATAATGGAGTCTCACTGATCTCTGTGTTTAAGGGTCAGAGTAGCAAAAATGTAAATAGACACAGCCTAGAGAATGGCCCAAAAGATCACCTGTTGAATGACCCAAAGAGCTCTTTGGGTAAGGATCTGGGGTATGACTCTGAGAAAGACCTAAACAGTCAGGTGGTGAGTCTCTCAGAGAAAAATTCAAGGATGTCAGCAGAGAGTCTAGGTCAGAGACAACTTCAAAATGTCCTAAAAGTACATTTGAGCAAGAAGTTTGGGGAAATAAGTGAGGGTCGGCTCCCTGGGACTGTGCGTAATTCATGGCATGCTATCAAGCAAACATTGCTTCTTTCTGTGAAATCCCATACCCAAACAAAACAGAGAAGTTTGCCATCACCAGTGGGTGTGGCCTACTCCCTGAATACCTTCCAGGACCTGACTTTTGTTGATTCCAGTACACAACAGATGCTGGAAGCCCATATTAAAAGGTTTCGTATGAGGATGTTGTGGGCCCTTCTCCGCAAGGTCCTTGAATCCATACAGATCTTTAAATTGAAAGATGCCTCATCCCAGTCCTTGTCTCATGCCAACTTGCCCTCCTCAGCCAATGTGATTTCTGAGGCAGACTCTAAATCTGGGAGCTTCAAGTCCTTTAGAGGAAGCTCTAAATCTCTCCATGGAGACAAAGTGGGAACAACAAATTCAGCCCTTGTCCTGGATCGTTCTCTCCCTGCCACCTCACCTGTGGGAAAAGGAGGACAGAGGGTCCTGAGACAGTCACGCTCTGATGTCAACTGTGGGCTGGCAGAGAATGTTCAGAGAATTAAGGATGCCAGACAGACTCGTCTGCCTGTTTCAATCTGCATCACAGGGAAAGCAGGTCATAGACAGACTCAACTAGCCAACAGATATCCCCAAAAGCTGCTTGCAAAGCAAGCTGCGGCCAGATATGAGCCGAAGCCTAAGAGTGTGAGTTCCAGTGATAAAGGAGAAATGCAACGGGGCAAAAAGGTGGAGAAGTCAGAACCTGTTTTCATGCCCAGATTGTCTAGGGAGGTATTCACGGCTGAGGAGCTTGATACTCTTCAATTAAAAACTAGTGACATGGTGACAACTAGCAAGCCAGGGAGCTCCCAAATGATAAATGTGAATGAGAATAAAGTAGAAACTACCGTGACCACTGGAAGCCCCCCACCCAAATTACCAGTTCCCCAAGATCCTAAATCATTAGACCTTAAAGAACAACTGTTCAGTGAGTTAAACTTTAAACTGGAGAACAGGGAGCATAGCCAGGCTCAAGGCCAACCCACTGACACATCCCTTGCTTCAGATAACTTGACTTATGAGGTCTCACTGACTGATGCCCAAGGTGTCTCAGGTGGGAACATGCGAGCTTCCCAGGTGCTGCATGTCCATTTGGAGGACAGAGGAATCAGGATGGAGCAGCAGCAGGAACCTCGGGCCCCTAAGCATGCCTTAAGGAGGTGCCAGGATAAGAACTTCCCACCAACTGCAAAGAGAGTGAGCCCTCTGGAGCCCAAGGCAGAAGAGCTTGGTGGAAGGAATAAAGGCTTGGGGACATCCCAACTTAGGAGGAAGAGTTTCCCTACTCAGGAGATGGTACTAGAGCAGACACCTGCGAGCAAGTCTTCCCAGACCCTATCACAGAAGGGACAGCCTCTTCCTGAAGACCATATCAGAAAAAGCATGATGCACTTCTTGCAATGGCTTTATTCTGGGATAAAATACAAAAGGCAAGAAGATGCCCAGGAAAAGGGCAGCCGCATATCAACTGTGCAGAACAGAGGCCTAGTTAAAAGTAAAGCTGCCTTTACTGGAACAACTGAAGCTCAGAAAATCGTGACAGACAACGGGAAGTTCCTAGAGGAGAAACTGGGGCGTCAGCATGCGACTGATGTCACCTGCTCTCAAGGGCCCCGTCCTCCCCCAGTACAGTTGAGGAAAACTCAGCAAAAGGCGGAAGTGCAGGTCCGGGCAGAGCCTGTCCAGGGGCATCCTTTCAACTACAGGGCTCCCTCCGGTAAAGTGACAAATACCAAGTCCCACCATCAAATATCAAGTCCTGTCTTTGCTGGCCAGAGTTATCCTCCAAATACAAGACAGATCAAAGATAAGAAGAGACACCCCCAGAAAGTTGTGGCATTCAAGGACCAGCGACCGTGTCACAGATATCTCCCACCAGTGTCCCACGGGGAGCCTGTGCCCCATCCAAGCCCCACCCACAGGCGTCAAGCTGGCCAGGCACCCACGGCTGCTCTCAGCACTGCCGAAGGCACTGTGTTCAGACATCTGTCTCTACTTTTTAGACAGAAAACACTTCTCCAGAATTCCCAGGGAGGAAGACTTCCCATCCAGAAATAACTCCTTCCTTGTGGAGATTATTGATTCTCCCAAATAAATATTTAATAATAGTGTATCTTTTCTGTGTACTGTGTTGGGGGCATGGGTTTTGGGTAACTCAGGGCTTATATGTAAGGGAAAGTGAGGAGATAGTTCAGCTCTTACTGATTGCTTCCTTTGGCTTTGGCTAAAAGGTGACCAGTCCTCTGGAGTTCTTGCTGAACCCCGCCACCCCCCCACCCCGCCCCAAAGCCCATTTCCTCCCTGATGAAATTTGAGCAGATGGGCTTTGTTTTCTGCCGCTGAGCTTAGCTTTAATGAAAATGTATAGCAGCCCACATCTCCCCCCCGCACTGAACGTTTTATATCCTTTAGAGAAGTAGGGAAGAGAGGTCTTTTATACCTGAGGAGCGTTAAGGACAGGTATACTTTCTGAAAATAATGCTGAAGAAGAAACAACAGCTTAATCATTATTTAGACCTCAGTGACCAGAGGCTCCTACAGGGGGCTGAACCCTGAATGGCACTATTTGGGCGGAGATGTTGCTCTACTGGACCCTGGGCTAGTTGCCGTAGGGTCCAGGAACAGCACAGCAGCTGCTTAAGAATCTGTTATGTGGGTCATGTTAATGTATCGGGAGAACATACTTTAAACTTGACATGGAGGTTTCCTTACTAGAAAGGCACCCTGGGGAAGTGGCTCCCCTCCCTGGGTATTTTTTCAGGCTGCTCAATTGATGACTTTTTTTTTTGGCAGAGGAAAAGCACTACTCAGCTGTCAGTGGTAGGAATGTTGACCAGGCAGCCACCTACCTCCCAGGGTAAAATACAGCTGAGAGTAAGCAAAAGATGTCTTAAAGTGAGTGGGAAAGTAAGAAAAAGTGAAGGGAAAGAATGTCCTTACTGGTGGAACAAAGTTCATGCCTCGTCATTCCCATATCCTGACCCTGTCCTGCTCCCCCATTCCTCAATCTGATCCAAGCACCATGTCCTTGAGGCTGACCAGAGAACTGCACAGCACACTGATGCCTTATATCAAAAAGGCATGGGGGTGTCTTTGAGTACTAAAACAGTATCTCCAAGGATGTCATCAAGATGGCATCCCCCTCTTTGGGGAAGGTGATCATGGTGCTTTCTTTCCATCTATGCTTGATGGGAATATACAAGATATCTCCCTTAGTGTGTTCAGTTCACCAATCAAGATGAAGGTGCCACCACTGATATTAATAGCCTTGGTAGAGCTGTGGTACACCTCCCCCAGGATACCTGCAGCTCATGAACCAGAGGTGAGTCCTAGACTATGCACTGGGGTATCAGACATTTGGGGGCTTACCATGGACCTCCTTTTTTTTTGGCCAAGGCTGCACACATACCCACCCTTAGAATGAGGTCTAGAGGGAAGGCAACTCTACTTGTACAGACTGGGACTCAAAAATAGGGTGAGTATCCTAGAGAGCACTTGAGGTAGTTTTTCCAGAAAGACTTACGGATACTGGGTGTTAAAACAAAAAAACAAAAATAGATGTCCACTACAGCCTTCTCTCACTACTTTTATTTTCTTATCCAGAGTTATGACATTGATCCTACAATATCTGAAGCTTATGGTCACAGAGAGAAGGCAGATTCCGTGGAGCCCCCGGGAGAGGGACAAAAGGTGGGAGGGGGCCCAGGGTGGGGAACGTGAAGAGGTGAGGAGTGGTGGAGGTCTCTAACCTCCATGTGGATGGACCTGTCAATAACCCAGCTTCCCTGTTCCTACGTCATCTCATTTTTACTTCCATTCCAGTGCAGTCACTGCCACACTGTAGAGCTTATTACCAGGAACCCTTCTGCCATCTGGAATAATACAGTCTGACATTCCACCCTTTGGCCTCATCCTCCATCCTTCCAGCTTATAGACTACTTGTTAATTTTTCAACTTTAGGTCGTTTTTCCACTTACTCTTCCTCTATCCACCAAGCTTTTGTCTTCTTTTTCTCTCTCTCCAAGGTAGGCTTGGTGGTCTGTCAGGTAAGCAACATTTAAAAAGCTCCACTACAAATAGGCCCCATCCAATCACCTTTAATCCTTCCTGTCTGGCAAAATCCCCTATCTCTGCCTTTTCCAGAAATACCTTCCCATAAGTAGCTGATGACTATTGGATTAAATCTCACAATCAAGTCTACTGATGCCATGATAAATTCAGCCCTCATACTACCTGGAAATAATGCATCCATTCCACAAATTCTTATTCCATGCTTACTTACATGTGAACAAAACAAATGGAACTTAGGTCACCGTTTCCTTAGTCCATTTTCTCTCCAGTGCTACTCAAATCTTTTTCAAATCTCCTTCACTTTCCTCAAATTTAGGCCATCTCCACTTGCTCAGCAGATGTGCCAAACCACCATTCACAGAGGAACTAGAAGTCATGAGATGGGAAATTTTCATCAAAATCCTTAAAAAAAAAAAAAAAAAAAAAAAACCTTTCCCATTCCTCTCTTCCTTCTTCCTTCCTGTTATATGGAAAGAAGTTTCTTTCCCAACCTCAAAGGACTTACACTTCCTGAAATTTCCTTATTGAGAGATAGCTAAACTCTAGTCTTGATGGACTGATCACCCTGGCCAGGTATCCTTTTGCTCCCTCCCTCTCCTTATGAGTCACTCTACATCTTTTATTATTTTTAAAGCTTTTTAGTACAAAAATGTTTAAACATGCACGAAAGCAGACAGAACAGTGTAACCTCCCATACACCCCTCACCCAGCTTTCACAGTTATCATCTGGCATGTGTGATACATCCCATCTTTTACACTATGATTAAAGTGTAAAAGCCCATTTAAACATCTTGTCATCTATCTCTTAAGACATATGCTATGTGCCCATGTCAAAGCTCTCACATTTCTTTGATATTTATCACCTGTGGTACACAGTTATTCACAACAGATGTACACAGCATTGGTGACAAAAAAGCATTGTGCTTTAGAGGCTCTGGCAATCAGTTGTGCTCTGCCTTTTAGTCAACCCTAAGGAGTCATTTGAATGAATTCCTCCCTCAACCCCATACAAGAAGTAATCTTACAGATCAAATTCAGTGCACAATATTGCTTTCCCTTAATCACACAGTAACTATAACATGTAGGAAGAATAGAAGTAGTCAACTGTGCATGTTGATAAAGACTTGACATCACTATATGTGTTTTCAAATATTTACAAGAAAATATTTTTCCTGTCACATAGTTAAAATGAGCTATTGTGTTTCAAGTTAAACACAGTAGATAAAACACACTTGTTTATCTTCTCTCTGTCCCCAAATGCCATTAAAAGCAAGAGTAGATGAAAAAAAAAAAGAATAGGTGAAAAGAGGTTCAACATCTCTAGCCATCAGGGAAATAAAAACCAAAGCCACTATGATATAACACTTCACACACACAAGAATGACTAGAAACAAAAAGTCAGATTAAAACAAGTGTTGGTGAGAATGCGGAGAAACTGGAACCCTGATACACTGCTTGTGGGAATGAAAAATGGTGCAGCTGTTTCGGAAAACAGTCTGGCAGCGCTTCAAAATGTTAAACATAGAATTACCATGTGACCCAGCAACTCCACTTCTAGGTATATACTCAAGAGAAATGAAAACATATGTCCACACAAAAACTTGTAAACAAATGTTCATAGCAGTATTATTCATAAGAGTTAAAAGGCAGAAACAACCCAGATGTCCATCAACTGATGAATGGGTAAATAAAATATGGTATATCCATTCAGTGTAATATTTTTGGCATTAAAAAGCACGGATACATGCTACAACATGGCGGAACCTTGAAACTATTACGCTAAGTGAAAGAAGCCAGTCACAAATAACCACATATGATTCCATTCATGTGAAATGTTCAGAATAGGGAAACCAAGAGAGGACAGAAAGTAGATTAATGGTTGCTTAGAGCTGGGAGATGAAGGGTGGCGGGTAATAGCTAAAGGTTACGGGGTTCTTTCTGAAGTCATGAAAATGTTTTTAAAATTGTGGTGATGCACATGTCTGTGAGTATACTAAAAATCACAGAATTACACACTTTAAATGAGTAAATTGTATGGTATGTGAACTATATTTCAATAAAACTATTCAAACAAAGGATTTAAAAAGAATAAGTGCTTAAGGATGACTAGAAGGAGAGAGGATACGACAAAAGATGTCAACACATTTTTGGAAGATGGAAATCTGGTGGAGGAATGGTAACTGGCGAGCAGAGCAGACAAAGTGCTGTCAAACCAATTCACATCACAAAACGCCAGAAGACGGATGACCTGGTGGCACCAGATAAGAAAAATTAGGGGTTCCTTGCTGTAAACATGTTGATTTTTTTCCTCTTTTTTTGTATTGTGTTTAATTAAAAAAAATGTGTTGGTGGGGTGGGGGTGGTGCTCTTCTTCAGCATTTTGTAAAATCCTGTTGAAATGTGCAGAGGATCCCAGGTTTCTTGCCTGGGACAGAACGTGAGATGACTTTTAAAGCTGGCATTACACATTTCTGGGGTTTGGGTATGGTGATGGTGGTAGCTGCAAGAATCAAAGGCAGAAATCTCAAAGTTTAGGTAAAATCCAGGACAGCAGGCAATGGTCCATTTTGAAAAAGTATTTATTTGGAAATAACTAAACTTGTGGAAAAGTTGCATGGATGGTAAAAACCATGTACCCTTTATCCAGACTTAGCTACTAACATTTTGACCCATTTGAGATCTCTCTCCTCCCTCTGTCTCTGTTTCTGCCTCCCTCCCTCCCTTCCTCCCCTTTCTCTCTCTATATGATTATGCACACACACACATATATGAAAAATATGCATACATTTCTGAATATTTGAAAATACATTTCATGCATCACTCACCTTCTCCTTGAATATTTCATTGTGTATTTAAGAAAAAGAAGATTCTCTTACATACAGTACAGTTATTTATCCCCTTCAGTAAATTTAACAATGACATAAAACTTTTAACTAATCTCCCATTCATATTCCATTTTTGTCAATTTATTGAGTAATGTCCTTTGT